ACTCTCGCGATGCACGAGACTTCTGAGCCTGTGGTTGCGGGCCGAGGGCTCCTGCAATTGCAAGTACGGTATTTCCCCTACAGACCACCAGGGCGGCCAAGAAAACCTTTGTTCGACCTGAAATGACTCATTTAATCATCCAAAACGTTATGGAACACATTAATTAACTGAAAAATGTTGCATAGTATGCCTTTAACATAACATTTAACTCTTCTTATTCAGCAGCTGGAAAGATTAGGTGGGTACATAGACTCATCTGGTTATGTCATCAACAAAAAAAAGTTGTATCAGGCAACTGCATAGGTTGCCTAGGTAGACCAGTAACCTTTGGATCTACAGCCTATTGAAGTTGTCATATTACAACAAATAAGCATCTCTTATCCATAAATTACCCACACATGATTACCATAAGGTCTGTATGTATCGCAACCTCATGCTAATTAGTGCTGATCTTGGAAGATCGCTTTGGTTGTTACTGAAATGATCTCGGCATGTTTGTGTTTACATCCACATGTTATTAGCTTGTTGCCACAGCGAATCAATCTCATTTTTCTAGATTGAGGACAGATTCTAATGAGCTTTGGTTAGCAAATCTGTCCAAATGAATCCAAAAGATTGTCTTTTTTTTCTTGTTAAATGTCTCATTCCATACATAGATTTCATGCATTTCTTGGCATCCTTTATCAGCTCTCAGGATAGATATCGTTGCTGGTTCAAGATCTGTTTTTTATACTTTTTTACCAGGTCTTCTTGTTAAAATTTCTCACAAAAGGAATAAAAAATATATTTTTGCTCACAATTTACATACATAAATATGAAAAAAATCCATCAGGGGATTTGAACGTTACCACTTCTGTTCTCTCTTCTGTCTTTGTCATAATAAGAAACGTGGTATTTGAGATGCTGTCATGTTTCCAGCTGGGGCCCACACTCTGAATGCTGTTTATTTTGTGGAGCTTATGGCAGCCTCTCCGAATCAACATGTAGGAGGGTGACGGGCTGCATGTTCTCCAAAAAAAAATTCATTTGATTTCCTTTCAGAAGCTGCACTCTTCATTAGATGAAGCAACACAGCGTCAGGGTACAGAAATACTCTTTTCTTTAGCAGCTTTACACTATGTTTCTCTCTACAAACTAAATGTCAAAAAACAAAATCGTGTTCTGCTGTTTAGATCACCGCCGGTGCATAACATCAGACAAACAGGAAAAAAAAGTGTGAAATGAAAGCGTGGTGTTGACTCGGTTCAGGCTCATTTTGTGCTTTTATTGGCCTGATCATATATTCCCACAGAGAGCATTAAATTACTGATAAACTGAAACACAAACTTTATTAGCCAGTCCCTGCTCACCACTGATGATGAACAGAAAAGAAGCAAAAACTCTTTTCTCTCTTTTCATAGAAATATCACCAACTTGGTTGATTTTCCAACCCTACATCGACTTCACAATGTTTGTCTTTAAAACTCTCTCTATCTCCGTTTTTCATCCATTCTTCTCTCTTTCTGGTTTTGAAGGTGGGCACGTCAAATCCATTACTCAATCTGCTCAATGGAGCGAAGCCCATTTACCAGTTGACTCATTTTAGATGGATCATTTACCCTTTCATCTTCTCCGACAATGCCACTGATGTAACAAGCCACTGGGGCGATGTTATGCTTTTTGATGATTTTTCTTCTGTATTTTTTGGGGGGGGTGAAGGGGTTTGTGGTCTTTTATGCAACTGCATCAAGCATCTCTGCAGAATCATATGAGGAAAATCGTGGAAAACGGGCTCATTTCATCGTACTGCTGTCACACTATTGAATGGCTGCAATGTTACAGTCTAGTCTAAAAAGTTCACAGGAGGTAACGTGATCTGCTCTGTGCTTGATTTATCTGAAAGTGATCCACTGGTTACTGGGTGCAGACAATCAATACCAACACTTTCCTTTAGTAATTCTTTCTAAATGCTGTGCAGAAGCAGTTATACTACTTTGTGAACATGTAGTGTTTGGATGTAAGGACTCCTATGCAGTCTTTAAGAATAAAGAATTATATTTTTATTTTGGCTCCCAATCAAACATCCTGATTTCCTAAAACAAGTTGCTCCTCCAACATTATTTCATACTAATATGCTTACAGGTAAACCTCAACCAGTGTTGGGAGTTACAGGATTACATAAACAGGGTTAGTATCCTCTTCCGTTTTTCATTAAAAAAGTATTCTAACTAACTACTTGTTACATATTGGTAATTTCATAACATTACTTGCAATCTAACACAGTGCATTACTACAACTTGATCAGTCAAAGCAACTTTCTCTACGACAGGGAGAAACGTTTAATGTAGGAAGGAACAGGAAGCTGAAATGGACACTGATTGGCTGAGGAGCAACAATGTGGGCGGGGATTAAGCATGCCTTAATTACCCAGACTGAGGTTGTGTCTGGACGTCTGCCATTTAAAATGTGTGTCCGAATGTCTATTTGATGAAAAAGAAAAGAGCTAAAAATTTCCCACAATGCACCTTGAAAAGTAGCGTACATCGATGGTCACTAGATGAGCAGACATAACCAAGAATGTTTGCAAGAGCTCACAAAGCATCATAGGACCTGTTTTGGTGATGGGAGAGAACAAAGATGGAGGACGCGCCGTGAAGGGAGTGTGTAGTACGAACAGTAGTGATCATCTGCCCAAACGGTCAGTTAACTGAGTTCACTATCAAGTCCATTAAATAGTCCCCGCTCTATAGTGTGATGAGGGGTTTGAGGTTAGGGCAGACATTTGGACACAGCCTAAGAGGAGAGAGGAGGCACTGAGCAACTAAATCTCTAAAGAGAAATGTTGAAACTAAAAGCTATTTAGCCGTTATGCAGAAACAAAATGTATCCAACTGATTTCCAGGCGCAGCCAAGGTGTTGAGGGGATCTGTCTTGGTGGCCTTAGGATTGCATCTCTGTTATTCGCAGATCATGTGGTTCTGTTGACTTCTTCAGGGTTAGATCTACAGCTCTCACTGGATTGGTTCGCAGCCGAGTACAAAGCGGCTGGGATGAGAATCAGTGCCTCCAAATCCGAGACCATGGTCTTGAGCGGGAAAAGAGTGCCTTCTCCAGGTTGGGGAGGATGTACTGCCCCTAGTGGAGGAGTTTAAGTATCTTGGGGTCTAGTTCACAAATGAGGGGAAGATGGAGCGGGAGATCGATAGGCAGATTGGTGCAGCATCTGCTGTAAAGCGGGCACTGTACCGGTCTGTTGTGGTGAAGAGAGAGCTGAGCTAAAAAGCAGAGCTCTCGATTTACCGCTCGATCTACGTTCCTACCATCATCTATAGTCATCAGCTTTGGGTCATGACCGAAAGAATGAGATCCCAGATACAAGCGGCTGAAATGAGTTTTCTCCGTAGTGTATCTAGGCTCTCCCTTAGAGATAGGATCTAGTCTAAAGAAGCTCAAATCATCAACGCTGATTGACAGCTGGCTGGCATTCTTTACTTGATCAATGTTATACTGAATTCACTTGCATTCTTTTGTTTCTTTTCCGCACAGAAATGTGGTGATTATACTAGAATAGTGAGACCCGTGTCTCATTATATTTCAACATCTGTTTTAATTTAGTTAAATTGCTTGCAAAAGCAATATTTCCCAGCTTCATGCCTGTTTCAAACCCATTTGAAGGCTGCCACCTGTACAAAAATATAAACTTTTAAACTATCGTATTGACTTTATTACGCTTTAATGATAAAGAACAAAACATGCATCTGCAGAACTATATTTGATTGATTATTTATGCATTATCATCATTACTATTATAATTGAACATCCAGTTGAATTGAAAGCTGCTACAACAGAAAAGTTTTTCTAAATTCTTAGACAATGTAGAGTCTGTTCACTCGATGGAATCAGAGTGGAGAACGACAAACGGCAGCAGAGCCACGGACTGTTTTAGGTCCTGTTACTCTTTTAAAGCACATATGTGTTAATTAAGGGATTGCTTCAATAAAAAAAATAAATAAATAAATTGAAATATATGTTTTTAAATTCTTGTTCTGTAACAAGTGTTGTTTTTTCAAAAAGTTCGAGCAGTAGGATGATTTGCCGATAAAATAAGATGATTTATCTTTGAAATAGGAATTAAGAACTTTATGATTGTATTTTGATTTTTATAGAATATATCTTTTAGCTGATTATTTAAGGGTGAATACACAGATATTAGGAATTTCTTTGACTTATGTTTAGATCCATCCAGATAAATACATCAACTACATTTCTAATTACCACCAGTAAACCTCAGCCATGCGTATCTAGTGAACAGCACATGCATCCATCTGGCTGAGGATTTTTTTTCCCATAACAATCAAACTGGTGTGAATGAGTTCTCTAATGACCGGCACAGATAGAGGTAGCCTCGTGAGACCATCCTGATCTCGCGAGCTTTCAAGGTTTCACTCGCAGATCAGTCTGGAGACTCTCCGTTAAAGAAAATTTTAGGTTGAGGTGTGACGCAACGAGAAGCGCGACAGTTCAGTCTAGAGAACATGGCGGCTTGAGCCAATGAAACTAGCGTTAGCGTGGCTATCGAGCAAGTTTTATCGAAATTACAGAGTATTTCTTCACTGAAATATAATATCCTTTGCCGACATGTTGCTT